AGGGACCCCCCCTCCCCCCCCAGTGCACAAATTTTTGTGCACCGGGCCTCTAGTATATTATAAAGCAAAAATGAACAAAAGCACCTAATTGGAATTTTAGTCCTCCTTTCTAACTTTTCTTCTACTTCAAGAATCACTATTTTTGCCTCTAATAACTAAGAACTTACCACCCATGGCCTTTTAGCTTCAAGCATCTCAATCAAATCTAAATGTCGTTTACGTTCATAGAACCTCTCCACATCTTGTTTATATCTTTCATTCCTCTGAACCATTTTCTCTAGATATTCCGTTTTCTCTTTACATGAGGTCTATAAGAAATATTTGTTTAAACTATTAGTTTAACTGGGAAAAGACAACAGGTCAAGTTTTTTAATAATAAAAAATGTATAATATTAACAAAATTTTACAGTAAAGAATTCCACAGAAGTTCTAAAAACTATGTAAAACAGCCCTAGCCAGTTTTGCTCAGTGGCAGCCTGCAGACAAGAGTCCCAGGTTCTATTCTGGTCAGAGGCACGTACCTTGGTTGCAGGCTCCTCTCTAGCCCGGGCCCTGGTCGGGGTATGTGCAGGAGGCAACCAATCGATGTGTCTCTCTCACATCAATGTTTCTGTCTTTCCCTCTCTCTTCCACTCTCACTAAAAATCAATGAAAAAAATATCCTCGGGTGAGGATTACCAAACAAAACAACAACAAAACCCAAAAAACTATGGAAAACATGCACATGTAAGCTCTGGTCTAGGCACTATAATTTATTAGTCATGTGACTCCGAGGAAGCCCTGCCACCTCACTGAGCCTGGACTCTTCTTGCTTAAAGAGAAGAAAGTTAACTGCCTCATTCATGTCAAGGGTAGAAGCAGTTCACTTGCTTTGGGTAAAAGCTCATAAACTGTAATGTGATATACAAATAAAAATATTAATGTTATGAACACCCATAACTTAAGGACTTAGAAATGAGAAGGAAAGCTACTGCAAAATAATAAATACAAAGATGTACTTAGAATTTAGTATAAAATATGCTTTTTTTCTTTCACATGACAGTAGGTAATTTCAGGGAGTGTTTCAGATGAGAATATTAGATTGTTTGATGTGGAGATGGTAAAAAGATATCTGAAGGTAAAATAATTACAACTCCTTTGGTCATTCACTCTGAATAAGTGTAATAATAAAAATAATACTAAATTATAACAAAAACATATTATAAAGTATAGACAGTTACAGTAAAAGAAAAAGCATTTATAAGGTATCTTATTGCAAAACCTTACAGAATTATTTTAGTTTCTGAGCCCTAAGAAATGATTCATTAAATAAAACACCTTTACAAACAATATGCAAAAAGAGACATTTTAATTTATGTTTTATTAAAGGTGAAAAAAATCAACACTTCTACTAAATGTATACTTTTCTTACAAAGTCTATCCTCATACAACTGAAATATCAGAACTGGTTGAACAGAGACACTATATTAAAAACTGTATGGTATTTGCTGCACTATCCAAAGCCTTACATAATGCCTGGCACATAGTAGGTTTTTAATAAATATTAAATTAGTAAGAGAATAATACTGAAACTTCTGAGAGACAAAAATACTTTGTAATACTATTATTAGTTCCTTAGAAATTCAATAACATATATTTGATGAAATGAGAGTCAAAAATTTTAAACTTTACATTTATCAAATCTATTCTCACTTTTTGTCACTTAATTTAATTAATGTTAGCAATACAATCCTGCATGAAAAAAAATCACAAATATATGAATTTACTCAATGGTTCAGCACTCACTTTCCCACATTTTGAGACATAGAAATCAACGAGGGGCAATTAAAATGAGTTGTCCATTTATAAATACCTCTAGTTGTTTTTCTTTCTCCCTGAAGTTTTTGAGTTCACAGTGATATCTATGCATTTCTGGAGGACCAATTGACTTCTCAGTAGCTTCAAGTAGTTCAATTTTACTGAGTTTTGCAAATTCTCCAACTTTATCCTAGAGCACAAAACTTAAATATCAGCAACTATTATCATTTATAAATATCTCCAAAATATTTTTCACTAAATGATCACATTTGTCAAGATGAAATAAAAGAAAAAATATTTATTTTTGAGATGTGATCTTTTTTAAAAAAATATATTTTATTGATTTTTTACAGAGAGGAAGGGAGAGGGATAGAGAGTCAGAAACATCGATGAGAGAGAAACATCGATCAGCCGCCTCCTGCACATTCCCCACTGGGGATGTGCCCGCAACCAAGGCACACGCCCCTGACCGGAACCAAACCCAGGACCCTTGAGTCCATAGGCCAACGCTCTATCCACTAAGCCAAACCGGCCAGGGCTTGAGATGTGATCTTAATATAAACTGTGTCCTTTCATATATTATTCTTTAAAATAACAGAAATAAACTTAGGGTATAAACTATCATCTTTTTGAGAACCTTTAAAAAATTTCTGTGAACACCTTCTTACACTCTACACAAGAATAAACTCAAAATGGATTAAAGATTTAAATGTTGAACTCAAAACCATAAAAATCCTAGAAGAAAATATAGGCAGTAAAATCTTAGACATTTCTTGTAGCAACATTTTTTTGATATATCTCCTCTGGCAAGAGAAACAAAAGAAAAACAAATGGAACTAAATCAAACTAAAAAGTTTTTGCACAGCAAAAGAAACCATCAACAAAATGAAAAGATAACCCACTGAATGGAAGAACATATTCAATGATAACATATGATAAGGGCTTAATATCCAAAATTTATAAGGAACTTATAAAACTCAACCAAAAGAACAAAAACAAAAAAACAATCCAAATAAAAATGGGCAAAGGACCTGAATAGACATTTCTCCAAAGGGGACATACAGAAGGCCAATAGACATATGAAAAGATGCTCAATATCACTAATAATCAGAGAAATGAAAATTAAAACTACACTGATATATCACCTCACACCTATCAGAATGGCTTTCATCAATAAATCAACAAACAACAAGTGTTGGTGAGGATGTGGAGAAAAGGGAACCTTCTTGCATTATTGGGTAGAATGTAGCTTGGTGCAGGTACTGTGGAAAGCAGTATGGAGCTACCACAAAAAATTAAAAATCAAACTGCCTTTTTGACCCAGCTACTCCACTTCTGGGAATATACCCAAAGAAACCTGAAACACTAATTTGAACGAATATATGCACACTTAGTTCACTGCAGCGTTATTTATAACAGCCAAGATTTGGAAGCAGCCCAAGTGGCCATCAGTAGGTGAGTGGATAAAAAAATTTGTGGTACATTTACACAATGGAATATTACTTGGCCATAAAATAGAAGGAATTCTTACCTTCTGCAACAAGATGACTGGACCTAGAGATTATTATGCTAAGTGAAATAAACCAGAGAAAGACAAGTACCATATGATTTCACTTATATGTGGAATTTAATAAATTAACAAACAAAATAGAAATAGACTCATAGACAGAGAAGAGACAGACAGCTATCAGAGGGGGAGGGAGTTGGGAGACTGGCAAAAAAAGGTGAAGAGATTATGAAACAGCTCTGACCGGTTTGGCTCATTGGATGGAGCGTCGGCCTGCGGACTAAAGGGTCCCAGGTTCGATTCCGGTCAGGGGCATGTACCTTGGTTGCGGGCGCATCCCCGGTGGGGGGTGTGCAGGAGGCAGCTGATGTTTCTCTCTCATCGATGTTTCTAACTCTCTATCCCTCTCCCTTCTTCTCTGTAAAAAATCAATAAAAATATATTTTAAAAAAAAAAGAAACAAACAGAAAATACACAAACTCATAGACACAGGCAACAGTATGGTGATTACCAGAGGGAAAGGGGTGGGGGAGGAGGTAAAAGAGGGGAAAGAGGGGGATAAATGGTGATGGAAGGAGACTTTACTTGGGTTTGTGAACACACAATATAATATACAGATGACGTATTATAGAATTGTACCCCTTGAAACCTATACTATTTTATTAACCAATGTCACCCCAATAAATTAAATAAAAATTAAAAAATTCTATGTCAATATCTCCAGTTTCAAAAGTTTATATACATACAATAAACAGTTTGGGATAAGAGAAAATAGTCAAAATGATCATCTACCACACATCAATTGGAATGTTAGAAGTTAAAAAAAGAGGCAATTTTAAACATCCACTTTTGGAAATCATCTGACATCAGCTGATAAATGCTTTCAAATTTTAATTTTTACTTGATATAAACATATAATCAAATCATCATCATTTTTAAAGAAAAAATGAACTATAATTTTTTATAGTTACTATTACCAGGCAGCAGTCAAAGATAAAGTTAAAAGGCATCTCACTTTAACATTTAATATGCATTAGCAAGATGTTTTATTTTTACTAAAAAAAACTCAAAATATATAAAGGTGTTACAAGGCATGCCTAAAGATTTAAGAGTTTTAGTTTATCAAATATTTTATATAAAACCAATGATTAAGTTGTTTATTAACAAAAATTAACAAATGGAAGCCCACAGTAATTCAAGCTACTCTTTGTACTTGAAAATAATACAACTTTATTTCCTGTACAATACTCCATAACTTAGACTATTTATTAATCGAAATTTTCCAAATTACTAGAAATTAATAAGATTATACCTTAAAACAGTGATTTTCAATCAGTATGCCCCACTGGTGTACTGCAAGAATTTTTAAACATGTGATACCTGACTATTTAAGTCAGGGGCACTTACCTCTTTCCCCCTAGATCAGCGGTTCTCAACCTGTGGGTCGCGACCCCTTTTGGGGGGTCGAACGACCCTTTCACAGGGGTCGCCTAAGACCATCGGAAAACACATATATAATTATATATTGTTTTTGTGATTAATCACTATGCTTTAATTATGTTCAATTTATAACAATGAAAATACATCCTGCATATCAGATATTTACATTATGATTCATAACAGTAGCAAAATTACAGTTATGAAGTAGCAACGAAAATAATTTTATGGTTGGGGGTCACCACAACATGAGGAACTGTATTAAAGGGTTGCGGCATTAGGAAGGTTGAGAACCACTGCCCTAGATTGTCAAAAAAATGACAACAGCCAACACAATAGCCGTACAGTGTGAATGAATCAAAATTTTATCTATTTTTGTTGTCAGATTGGCAAAAAATATATTTTTTGGTGTGCTGCAGAATTTTAGTAATTAGTTTATGTGTGCCTTGAGATGAAAAAGGTTGGAAATCGCTGCTGTAAGAGACAAGATGCTACCTTTCTTACAAAGAATTATTAGCATTAAGACTGCTATGCTCAGTTTAAATAGTAATCTTTACAATATCCCTGGAAAAGTATTTACATTCTTATACAGCATAAAAAGGAAACATTATATACAAAGCTTTCCCATCTTTACATTTAATTCTCCCATACCTGAGGTAGAAACTGGCAAAGATTGCCCACTTGAATATTTAAGGCTGCAACTTGCTCTTCTACTACTTTCTGGGTTGTCGATTTTTTGTTGATGAACCAAAAGGACTGATTTTTTGCCACATCAATCTCACGAGTAATCACAAGATTTCCAGAACTCCTGAATCTAGTTAAAAAATAATTTTAACATATTTATATTCAAAATACATGCATTATTTCAGAAATAAAATTTCCAAAATACTCTTGCACCAAAGGTTGCTGAACACGGTTATTATAATTTTTATTTCTTTTGATATTTTGGCCCATCTAGAGAAGAAAACTTGGACATTTTGTTAGTATTAACACATGATTTAGTACTCTTTTCAACATTATTTAAACTTAAAATAAAATTGAAATAAATTCCAATACTAATTCCCAAACACTGCCAGAGGATTCACATATCTGAAGTTATTTATCCTTTAATCATTATGCTATTCTCCAATTAGATGCATTGATTGCAATTCAAAATGGGTTGGTATATAAAAGCATGTAACAACCTTGAAAGTCCCTCTACGTGGGAAATGTATGAATGAAACCAATTCTTGCATATGCATTTCCAAACATCAAAACTAGCCTGTCCATGGCTTCTCCTCATTATGTACGCCACTATGAATTCAGAGGGGACTATATCACATGGCTATACAGGGACATTAAATTACAAAGAACCTGAAAGAAGGGTATTTACTAATTTCTTGCTTTTAGGAGTACTACTGCACCACACTTCCCATCTATTCATTCATCTTCTTCACTGGGAACCAGCAGCATGTGGTAGAAAGATAAATTATTGGTATCCAATAGCTATATGACAATTTATAAATGTTGTATATATAGATTATACTGTAATCAGAACTCAAACAGTAAGATTTTAGTACTTAAAAAATGTTGTTTTAAACTTTCACTTCCAGCAGAATGAATAATAGAGTTTTTAAAATCATCTTGCTACAAACACAACAAAAATTGATTGATAAAATACTAAAATATCTTCATAAATGCACTTACGAGTTAGCATGAAAGAAATGAATTCTGGTCAAAATCCCAAGTAGGAACACAGGAGTGAAAAAAATGAAGTGGGTTTCCACCCTAAGGGCATTTGTCAAAAGAGTAATCTTGCACACTCATTTTCATGATCTTACAGGGAAGGGGTGTTGTAGATACAGCCCAAAGCTTTTACAAAGGTAGACAGTCTAATAAAAACCATCCCCCAAAGGCTATATACCCTCAGTGTAAGCGCAAACTAGAAATACTCCTTCACTACCACACGGCAGCAAGGTAAATTGCCTGTCTTAAACTATGGCTTGAACTGTGAAACAAGCAAAAAAACCTCCCCCAAAAGTTACTAACAGTCTCAAACAGAGATGCATCTTGAAGTTAAATGACATACCTACGGAGGTTAAAAAACCCTCAAACTGAAAATTCTGTATATTGTGATCATGGATTGAAAGTGTCCAATGGTCTGTGACAAAAGTTAATAAAAATTCCCTCTGTAGGAATCTACCTGTATCCTCAAAGAATCAACAGATAAAGTTCAAAGATAAAGGAGCATCTCACTGGTTCACTGGAAACACACACACACACACACACACACACACACACACACACACCCCAAAGCATCAAGAGTAAGAACTAGCAGAAATAATAGAAAGTAGAATTATATTGGAATTAATGAACTCCAAAATAAAATACATAGGTTTACTGTATTTTTAAAAATATATATTTTATTGATATTTTACAGAGAGAAAGGGAGAGGGATAGAGAGTTAGAAACATCGATGAGAGAGAAACATCGATCAGCTGCCTCCTGCACACCCCCTACTGGGGATGTGCCTGCAACCAAGGTACATGCCCTTGACCGGAATCGAACCCGGGACCTTTCAATCCGCAGGCCGACGCTCTATCAACTGAGCCAAACAGGTTAGGGCTAGGTCTACTGTATTTTAAGAAAATATTGAAAATATAAGCAGTAAACAAGAAGATTTGAGAAAAAAAACAAAACACAAAAAAACCCCCACAAAACCCAAAGAGAAATGAACCTAGAATGCTACACAAAGATAGAAAAAGAAAAATGTGAAAGCTATTAAGAGACATGGATGACTGAGACTGAGTGAGAAAGTCGAACATCTGTTTAATGAGATCTAGAAGTGAGGGAAGACAGAATGGGTCACAGGCAATATTGGAAGATTTTATAAAAAGATAAATTTTCCAAATCACAGGTTGAAGAATCTCATTAAATCCCAAACAAAATAAATAAAAATTAAACCCATACCTAAATATATCATGTAAAACTACAAAATACCAAAAACAGATATAATTTCAAAGACCTCCTGACAAAAAGAGAATTACTATCAAAGAAACTACAATTAGGCTCATATCAGAAGACAATAAAATTATACTTTGCATGGGCTAAGAAAGAACCTATCAATGTAAAATTTTATATCTAGCAAATACAGCTTTCAAGATAGTTTTTGTCTGAAAATGATATAATACTGCTCTAAGTGTTCCACTAACAGTGGTTCTCAACTTTCCTAATGTCGCGACCCTTTAATACAGTTCATCATGTTGTGGTGACCCCCAACCATAAAATTAATTTTCGTTGCTACTTCATAACTGTAATTTTGTTACTGTTATGAATCGTAATGTAAATATCTGATATGCAGGATGTATTTTCATTGTTCGCGACCCACAGGTTGAGAACCGCTGCACTAGAAGATCCTCATTAAAAGAAATTTTAAAATATGCCCTCTAGCAGAAAGAGATCCCAAAGGGAAGAACAAAAATGCAAGAAAGAATGAAAGGCAAGGCAAAGAGAAAATGTGTGTGGTAATTCTAGACAAACACAGACAGTATAAACTAATAATAGATATGTCTTTGAAGGGTTTAATAAGACAGAATTAAAATAGCATAAGTTCATAGATATTATTAAAATAAAAGTATTTCATGATCTTATTCAGTAGGAAGATAAAGATACTTAATTAACATTAGTCTCTAATTTAAGTTATTAAGGGACTTCCAGTCAAGATGGCAGAGTAGGCAAAAGGTGTGCTCACGTCCTCCCTTGACCACACCAAAATTACCAAACAACCATCAGTGACACCTGAAGACCAGCTAAAAAGAAGTCCCACAACCATAACGAAGGATATAAAAAAGAAGCCACAAAGAAAGACTAGTAGGAGGGATGGAGACATGATGTGGCAATTAACTATCTTGGCTGTAGAGATTCCCCCTGAGGAGCACATAGGGTCCCAGTTCCACACTCAGGTCCTCAACCTGGGGCATCAGTGCAAGGAAGAGAAGTCTCCATAATAGCTGGCTGTGAAAACCAACATGGATTGCATCTGAGTGAGAAAGAGATCTACTGGAGTCCCAGGCCTTCCTCTTGTGGGGTCCATGAACAGACTTGCTCACTCACAGACTGACTTGCTCTGCAGTCCAGTGAGGGGGCAGCAGCTTGAAGAGCACCAGGAACATTACGGGGAGAAACAAAACTGACTGGCTTCAGGGAGAGGGGCAGGAGTGGGCATAGGAGTAAGGGTATATCTTTCCTAGGATGTAAATGCTGGCAGATGCCATTACTCCTCTGTTAACCCCTTCTCCACCCAGCCAGCAAGTGCAGGCAGGCACCAAATCTGTGATCTCCAAAAATCTGGCTAACACCATTTTCCCTGCCTGGTGATTCCCTCAGACCACAGCCCAACTCAAGCACCAGCCCAAGCCACTTCCAACAGCTCTTCCACCCAAGCATCTGGCCTTGGCTAGTGCTGCACTTTCCTAAAATCTCTCAAAGGCCTCCAAACCCCAAATAGGCAGGAGCTGGATTCAGTGTGTCCTGTGCCTCTTGCTAAATCAGTGGTTCTCAACCTTGGCTACACATTAGAATCACCTGGGAATCTTTTTAAATTCACCCCATAACAAAGAAACAGAATTTCCGGAGGATGAGGCCCAGAAATCAGGATTTTAAAGATTCCCAGGTGATTCTAATGTGCAGCCAAAGTTGAGAACCACTGCTCTAGAACCAACAAGCCCAGTGGCCAGCTTCACACCACACCCAACGAGGTCCACAAACAACAACACCTGAAGGTAGATTCAGCTGGACCAGAACCCCACTAAAGCAACTCCCACTCCATGGAGTCAACCCCCACACAACAGCTTGTCCGCTGTAGTCAAGATGAACCCTTAGAGCCAGTCAGCATGAAGGGCAATCCCACCCACTGATGTGCCAACAGCAATCAAGACTCAACTACAACAGGAAGACACACATATCTACACAAGGGACACTCCTGGAGCAAAGGGCTCAGATGAACAGGGAGACTGTGCCACTGGGCCTCATAGGACACCTACAACATAAGGCCTCTCTGCACAGACTGGGAGATAAAGATCTACCTGACACATACAAGCACACACAGGGAATCAGCCAAAATGAGGAGATAAAGAAACACATCCTAAATGAAAGAACAGGACAAAACTGCAGAAAAAGAACTAAATGAAATGGAGTCAAACAATCGACCAGATACAGAGTTAAAAACAAAACAAAACTGTTTATAAGGATGCTCAATAAACTTAGGGGGAAAATAGATGAACTCAGAACCTCAACAAAGATATAGAAGCTATTAAGAATACATTAGAGCAGTGGTTCTCAACCTTCCTAATGCCGCGACCCTTTAATACAGTTCCTCATGTTGTGATGACCCCCAACCATAAAATTATTTTCGTTGCTACTTCATAACTGTAATTTTGCTACTGTTATGAATGGTAATGTAAATATCTGATATGCAGGATGTATTTTCATTGTTACAAATTGAACATAATTAAAGCATAGTGATTAATCACAAAAACAGTATGTAATTATATATGTGTTTTCCGATGGTCTTAGGCGACCCCTGTGAAAGGGTCGTTCGACCCCCAAAGGGGTCGCGACCCACAGGTTGAGAACTGCTGCATTAGAGGGAATCAACAGCAGATTAGATGAAGCAGAGGACTGAATCAGGGATCTGAAAGATAAGGTAGCAGAAAACACCAAACCAGAACAGCAGAAAGATAAAAGAATTTTTAAAAATAAGGACAGTTTAAAGGACCTCTAGGACAACATCAAATGTTACAGCAGTTGCATCACAGGAGAACCAAAAGGAGAAAA